TAATAATCTTTGGTTGGATGCCAGAATTGTAAATTTAATGTTTTTTTAAACTGGATACTTTCAAATTACTATAAACCTTCTTGTGGGTTGTTCTGGAATATAGTGAGTTACTTAGAAACAGTCTGATGCATTCAGATCTTACTTTTATGGGGTTAGGTGGGTCTAGAGCAGTGTGAAATCTAAGGCTAATTTCTTCCCTCTCCTCAATGTGGTTTGAATGTTTGGTCCATCCACATCTCATGTTGAAATTTGATTCCCAGGAGGTGCCTGTGACTCAGTGAGTAGGGTGCCAGCCCCATATACCAAGGGTGGTGGATTCAAACCCGGCCCTGGCCAAACTGCAACAACAACAAAAAGACTGGGCATTATGGCCGGCGTCTATAGTCCCAGCTAGTCAGGAGGCTGAGGCAACAGAATCACCTCAGCCCAGGAGCTGGAGGTTGCTGTGAGCTGTGATGCCACAACACTCTACCGAGGGTGACAAAGTGAGATTCTGTCTCAAAAAAATAAAAATAAAAAATAAAAAGGAAATTTGATACCCAGTGTTGAATGTGGGGCCTTTTGGAAGGTATTTGGGTTGTGAGGTCGTTCATGTGGATCCCCCATGAAAGGCTGATGCCCTCCCAGCAATAATCAGTGGGTTCTTTATTTGTTCATTCAGAGCTAGTTGTTTCAAAGAGCCTAACACCCCCTCCTCTGTCTTGTTTTTTCTCTCACCATGTGACACTCCTAGTCCCCCCTTCACCTTCCACCTTGATTACAAGCTCCCTGAAGTCTTCACCAGACACAGTTGTTGGCCCCATGCTTCTTGTACAGCTGCAGAACTGCTAGCCAAATAAACCTCTTTTCTTTATAAATTATCCAGTTGGAGATATTTTCTAATACATGCCCCTAATGAGGCAAGCCCTTCCTCAGTACGCCTTTCAATGACCTGTGAATCTTTTTTTTTGAGACAGAGCCTCAAGCTTTCCCCCTGAGTAGAGTGCTGTGACATCACAGCTCACAGCAACCTCCAACTCCTGGGCTCAAGTGAAGTCTATTGCCTCAGCCTCCCAAGTAGCTGGGCCCACAGGCGCCCGCCACAATGCCCGGCTATTTTTTGGTTGCAGCCGTCATTGTTGTTTGGCGGGCCCGGGCTGGATTTGAACCCGCCACCTTGGGTGTACATGGCTGGCGCCTTAGCCACTTGAGCCACAGGCGCCGAGCCAACCTGTGAATCTTGAATAGACAGCATTCTCAGACTGTGTAAGTGCTAAGCACTATTCTAATACATTCTTTCCCTGCTTCTTTCCCTGACCTTAGGTAATTTCCTCATGTGTATGCGCTGATGTAGTCAGCCGAATATTCCAGGGGTTCCTCTGGAGATTTCTGGGTTTCTGTGTGTACTTTCTCTTATGGCTGTAATTGCCTTGGTCTCTCTGAATTCTCAGCTCTGTAACCTCAGTTAAGAATGTCTGCTGGACTGTCCCTTAGTTTCCCTTCCCTGTGCCATAACCTGAAAACCATATCAAGTGCGTAAGCTGGGCAATTGTAGAGCTTGTCTCATCTGTTCATCACTTCTCAAACAACACTATCCTTTATTGTCTGACATCCATTGTCTTGAAAAAAACATTGTTTTGGCTTGGCACCCATAGTTCAGTGAGTAGGGCACCAGCTGAGGCTGGTGGGTTCATACACTGAGACTGGCGGGTTCAAGTCCTACCTGGGCCTGCTAAACCTCAATGACAACTGCAACAAAAAAATAGCCAGGTGTTGTGCTGGAAGCCTATAGTCCCAGCTACTTGGGAGGGTGAGGCAAGAGAATCACTTGGGCCCAAGAGTTTGAGGTTGCTGTGAGCTGTGACACTATGGTACTCTATAGAGGGTGACAAAGTGACGATGACAACAACAAAAAAGCATTGTTTCATGCATTTTGTTTCTTTGTTTAGTTGTTCCAGGTGGGAGAGTGAATCTGATTTTCATTACTTCCTCTTGGCTACAAGCAAATGTTGGGACATTTACTCTGAGATGGACAGTTTTGAGCAAAAGATGGAATAAGTTACATTTTACAGGATTCTTCTTGTTGCTGTGTTGAGGATGGGCTGAAGAGGGTTAAGGGCAGATTTAGAGAGACAAATTAGGAGTCTACTGCAAGAAATAGAGTAGGCCTGGACCAGAAGTCGTGGGGTTGTAGAGGTTACTAAAAAGTGGTAGAATCTGGGTAAAATTAGAACTGACGAACTGACAGATGTCTGAAGGGTTAGTATGGGGTTGTGGGAGGAGTAAAGGGTACTTTCAAGGTTTTGGGCTTGAGTAACTGAAAGAATAGCGCTTCGTTAACAAAGATGGGGAAGACTGCCAGAGAAACTGGGGAGAGGGTGAAACATGTTTTGCTTGAGATACCTCTTTATCCTCCAAATGAAGATTTCAAAGTAGACTGCTGGTTATATAAATTTAAGAGTTCAGGAGAATGGTCTGGACTGGAGATATGTATTTGGAAGTCATAACCATATAAATGGTATGTAAGGCCCAGAGCCTGGATAAGATTCATCTAAGGTGGTGGTTCTGAACCTTCCTAATGCCGCAACCCTTTAATACAGTTCCTGTGGGTCAAGACCCACAGGTTAAGAACCACTGATCTAAGGGGTGAGGGCAGACAGGAAAGAAATCCACAGTTAAACCCTGCGGCATCTGCACTTTGTAATGGTTGGGAAAAAGAAAAGGATTAGGAACAGACTAAGGAAGAGCAGCCAGAAAAGCAGGTAGAACAGCAGCTAAGTGTGGTGTCTCACAAGCCCAGCATTGTTTCAAAGAGGACAAAGTGATTAGTTTTGCCAAATGCTCATAAATCAAGTAATTCATGGCCCAAAAAAAATGATCAGATTTAGCAATGTGGTAGTCACTTGCCATGTTGGAAAAGAGTTTTCATGGAGCAGGGTGTTAATTGGAGTGAGAGGACAGAAATTAGAGTGTATATGAATAACCCTTCCTGGTGCTGATCCGCTATTCTTTCAAACCAATCAGAAGATGTGCATTTTGACATTTGTAATTTAAAACACTCAAACTATTCATAGAGAAACTTTTAAGCACACTATAAAACTGTTTCCAGGTTTAAAGGGACAAATATGACCATACACTTGTTTTAGGGACAAGGTCACTATTGCCTAGACTGGACTGCAGTTGTGTGCTCATAGTTCACAGAAGCCTTAACTCCTGAAGGGCTCAGGCAATCCTCCAGCCTTGGCCTTCCAAAGTGCCAGAATTACAGATGTAAACCACCTTGGCTGGCCTAAGTGGACAAATATGTTTTATCTTCTTGTTGTGTTTGGCAACAAAGTACAGTCAATCTTCATTATTCGTGAATTTTATAATAGTGAATTTGCCTACTCACTAAAATTTATTTGTAGCCCACAAACCTATACTTTTGCCCATTCACAGACATGCACAGGGCAGCCAGAAATTTGGGTTTCTTGACATGCAAGTTACCAGCTGGAATTGAACAAGGCAGTTCCTTCTGTCTTGTTTCATACTAGAAACAAGCACCTAATTCTTGTTGCAGTTAATAAAACTTCTTTCACCTGTGTGAATGTGTACGTGTGTGAGAAAGAGTTTGCTGTTTAAAATGGCCCCCAGAAATAATGCTAAAGTGCTGTCTGGTGTTCTTTTTTTTTTTTTTTTTTTTTTTTTTGAGACAGAGTCTCACTTTGTTGCCCCAGGCTGGAGCATCAGAGTGCCAAGGTGTCATAGCTCACAGCATCTTCAAACTCCCAGGCTCAAGCAATCCTCTTGCCTTAGCCTCTTCTAGTAGCTGAGACTACAGGCATTTCTAATTTTAGTAGAGACAGGGTCTCACTTTTGCTCAGGCTCATCTCAAACTCATGAGCTTAAGCAACCCACCTGTCTCAGACTCCCAGAGTGCCAGGATTACAGGCGTGAGCCACAGCACCCAGCTTTGTCTAGTGTTCTTAAGTGCAAGAAAGCCTGTGATGTGCCTTGCAGAGAAAATACATGTTAGATAAACTTTGTTCAGGCAAGAGTTAAAGGCCTGTTGGTGATGAGTTCAACGTTAATTAATCAACGATAGATATTAAATAAGGAGTCTTTCAACAGAAATCCCATAAAAGAAGATTATGTATTCACAGGTTTACAAAAATGTCAGAGGCTCCAGGAATCTAACCTCAGGAGCAACAGAACTAATTCAGTGTTAGCTACTCGTTTACAGAACATAACTACTCTGAATAAGAACAGACTTTAACAAAGAAATATTTTCCAACACCCCATTTAAAAATGTCAAAAAGCAGATACTTTCTCAACTAATTGTTGAATTATCTTTCCTTGAAAAGACAAAGGCTTTTTTTTACGGTATCTGGTAGAAAGCTTATCTTTGACAGAAAAATATCAGCGAATTTGGAACACCAGTCTTTTTCAAAAGAAAAATGTGTATTATTAGAACACGTATTTACTTCAAGACAGCTGTTAACTACGGAAAGACAGGAATGCGAATGGTGCCTTCAATTGTCTGTAATATTTGATTTCTTAAAAATACAAAGGAAGGCACAAAGCATCTGAGCTGGGAATAAATGGTTTCTATTATCCGATTCTCTGTTTGACATATTTAAAGTATGTAACTGATTTAATCAGACTAAATATTAAGGTCTACGTGCTTCAGGGCGCCACCTTGTGGACCGATCGCGACTGGTCGGCGATACCCCGGGCCCCATCCAAGGGTCCCAATACTCTTCTAACAACTCGACGACTGGAAGGCAGATTCCCTGGTCACTCTAGCTGTGACCCAACTGCTTTAGAGCTACAGATTGTAGTCACACACAAAATATATTAAATAAAAGAAACTACATCCACGTTTGGGGCAATGTCTAGGGGAGAGAAAAAGACACGTGCCAGCAATTCATCAAAAACTAGCAATGGACGATGCCCGGCCCGAGTGGCACCGCACTGGCCTCCGCAGCAGCGCAGCGTGCGGCTACCCTGATTCCACAGCACCGGAAACGGCGGCTCCCACTGGGGGCGCTGCGGACACACGAGTCAAGGCTGCCTTCCAGGAAGCAAACAAAAAAGAAAAAAAAGGAAAGAAAGAAAGAGAAAAAGGAGAGCTAGTGGCGAGCAGGGGGCTCGGCCGCCACCCACGCCCGCGCCCCGCCTCGCGCTGGTCACTGGCGCCGGGCTCCCAGCCGCTGCCCTGCCCTCGGCCGCTGCCCGGTGGCCCAGGCCTCGGACTCCGCGGCCTGCCGGGCGCAGCCCGCTGGCCGGCGCCCTCAGGTGCGTACCCCGCCCCGCCGCCATTGAGGGCGGGCGCTTTTCTCGGAACTTTCCCTTCCCGAGGGCCCGGAGAAGGGAAGCCGTCCGGGTGCACGGCGAGAGGTGAGCCCTGGACGCCCCGGCGCCCCGCGGCGGCCCCCGAACCCCAGTCCCCGCGGGCGGGATCTGAAGAGTGGGGGGTGGGGCGGGGAAGCCCTGGCGCGAGGGCAACGGTCGTACGCACGGAGCGCGCACCCCTCTCCTTTCTGATTGGCTGGGCATGGGCCTGGGGCTCTCTGGGACCCAGTACGCGCGAGGTCACGCTCCGCCTGGCGTATGTGGGGCGCTAGCGCTGCGTGCGGACGCGCTTAATTGGTTAGGCCAGGGGGCGGGGTTGGTGCTGTTACCTGGTAACTGCTTCTTGGCTCCGCCCCCTACGTCACGCGTTGCCATGTGGCCCCCAGCGTGGGTTTTGTCCGCTAGTCCGCGCGGCAGTCTCTAGGGACCTGTTTGTTGACTGAAGACATCCCGGCGCCGGGGGAAACCGGCTTGTGCCTTGAAACAGTCCGTCGCAGTTCTTTCTACTTTAGAGTTCAAGGAGAGAAAAGGCTGGCAGGGCTGTATTCTCCATCTCTCAGACCCAAGCTTTGTTTTTGTTGTTTAATAGTAAGATGCACCGCAAAATTCGCCCTGTAAAAGTGTATATAGTTCAGGGGACTTTAGCAATTTCACAGAGTTGAGCGACCATCCCTATGTCAAATTCCAGAACGTTTTCAGCACCCCGGGAGAAACTCCGAATCCATCCTCCGTCATTCCTCGTTTCTGACCCCACCCCAAGCCCCTGGCAGCCACCTTTGTGTCTATGGTTTGGCTATTCTGGACGTGTCATGTAGATGGAATCATTCTAAGGAGTCTTTTATGTCAGGTTTCTTTCACTCATTTTTATGGCTGAGCAATAATCTGTGATATGACTATACTACATCTTTATTTTCCATCCATTGATGGATATTTGGGTTTCCACTTCTTGGCTATTATGAATGATGCTGCTGTGAACATTGGTGTAGGCATTTTTGTGCAGACATTTGTTTTCAATTCTCATAGGTGTATACCAAGGAGTGGAATTGCTGGGCCAAGCTTTGTGTTTTAAGGAAAAAAATCATATTTTAGTTTCGTGCTGGTTATTTGAAGTAAACAGATGTCTAGATATGAGATTGGAAATTGGCCAATTGGATGTTGCTCACGGCTGCAGCTGAAGGATTGAGCAGCCTTTTCTCCTTTTGTCTACCATTTGGAGATGAAGGCGTCATCATCATCATCAGTGTGACATCAGTGGACACAGGGTCTGGGGCCAGGTTGCAGCTGATATCAATCTGCAGTGGCGATTTGGAATGGGTCACAGATCATCCTGTCTTCCTGTTTAGCCGGTGAGGTCTACTGTCTAGACCCCTGGCTTCAGCCTGGACAAGTCCCTTCCCTCATTCTCAGACTGCAGAACTCAGAAGTACAATAGCCCCCTCCCCCCATCTGCAGTTTACAGTTTGCTGAGGTCAACTGTGATATGAAAATTCCAGAAATAAACAGTTCATAAGTTTTAAATTGCACTGTTCTGAGTAGTGTGATGAAATCTCACACCGTGCTGCCCAGGCCTTGAATTGTCCCTTTGTACAGTGGCTCCAAGCTGTAGATGCTCCTTACCCTTAGTCACTTACTAGCTGGCTGGGTGTTCAGACCTACTGTCACAGTAGCCAGGGCTTCTGTTCAAGTCACTCTTACTTTATAATGGCCCCAAAACACAAGAGTAGCGATGCTGGCAACTCAGATAGGCCAAAGAGAAGCCGTAAAGTGCTTCCTCTAAGTGAAAAGGTGAAAGTTCTCGACTTAATAAGGAAAGAAAAAAAATCGTACGCTGAGGTTGCTAAGATCTACAGTAAGAACGAATCTTCCATCCGTGAGATTGTGAAGAAGGAAAGAGAAATTCGTGCTAGTTTTGCTGTCTCACCTCCAACTGCTAAAGTGACGGCCACTGTGCGTGATAAGTGCTTAGTTAAGATGGAACAGGCGTTAAATCTGTGGGTGGAAGACATGAACAGAAAACATGTTCCGATTGACAGCAACGTGTTGCGCCAGAAAGCACTGAGCCTGTATGAAGACTTCCGCAAGGGATCCCCTAAAACGAGTGACACCAAGCCATTTACTGCAAGTAAGGGATGGTTACACAGATTCAGGAATAGATTCTCACATCATCACAAGAAGAAGAAGGGTGAGTACAGTACAATAAGATGTTCTAAGAGAGACACCACATTTACATAACTTGTATTATAGTATATTGTTACAATTTTTCCATTTTATTATTACTCATTATTAATCTGTCAGTATAGTTAATTTATAAATTACAACTTTATCATGATAGATATAAGTATAGGTTGAGCATATTTAATACAAAGATCCAAAATTTTATTTATTTTATTTATTTATTTTTTTGAGACCGAGTCTCAAGCTGCCACCCTGGGTAGACTGCTGTGGCTTCATCTTAGCTCATAGCAGCCTCCAACTCGGGCTCAAGCTATTCTCTTGCCTCCGTTTTTATGTTTTTGTTTTTGTTTTGTAGAGACTAGCGTCTCACTTGTGCTCAGGCTGGTCTCGAACCGATGAGCTCAAGCAATTCACCCTCCTCAGCCTCCCAGAGTGCTAGGATTACAGGCGTGAACCACAGTGCCTGGCCCAAAATCCGAGATTTTAAATGTTACAAATCTGATACTTTTTGAGCACTGACCTGATGCCGTAAGTGCTACATTAGCCAACTGAAGCTTTTGCTTTCTGATGGTTCAGTGTACAGAAGCTTTGTTTTATGCACAAAATTATTGAAAATATAGTATAGAGTCTCTCTCACTTTTTCTCCTCCATGAGAGGGACCCACTTCCAACTCTCTTTGAAAGTACTCTAAACTTTCTCTTTGTTCTTCCTAAATGAAATTTCTCTTTGTTACCCTAAAAAAAATTGTGTATAATCACCTTTAGGAAATGTGTAGAGGTGGATACAAAACATGAATGAATTTCATATTTATTTTTTTAAGAGACAGGGTCTCACTCTGTCACCAAACTAGAGTACAATGGTGTGATCATAGCTTACTATAGCCTCGAACTCTCAGGCTCAAACAATCCTCCCACCTTAGCCTCCTGAGTAACTGGGACTATAGGCCATACCCAGCACCCAAATGAATTTCATGTTTAGTCTGGAGTCTCAACTTCAAGATAGCCCATTATGTATATATGCAAATATTCCAAAATCTGAAAAAGTCTGAAATCTGAAACTTTTCTAGTCTCAAGCATCTTGGATTATGGATACTCAACCTCTATAGGAAAAAACTTCAATATAAAGGGTGCAGTCCTATCCCTGGTTTCAGGCATCCGCAGGGGGTCTTGGAATGTGCCCTTCAAGGATAAGTGAGGGGTACTACTGTCATGTTTAGATGCTTTCATTTTTCTCAGCTTCTCTCAATTGTCCACTCTGTGTTCCCAGGACAGGTGGGTGGAATCATTTGAGGGTGCCTGGCTTTCTTTTGCTTTTATTGCCTGAGATTCTGCATTGTGCAAGCAGTTCTGTCTCACTGGAGAGCAGGAGTTGGATTCTAGTCACCTTTCTTCCCCGCTGCCTGCCAGCAGTGTGTTCGTTTTCACATTGCGGTGCTCAATACATTCTTCTTGAACCGTGAAACAGGTACACTTGATTTTGTGGTTTTCGTTTACTGTAGACCTGGGCTGAGCTGTAGAGAAAGTAGAACCTATTATTTAAAACCAAGACCTGGGCGGCACCTGTGGCTCAAAGGAGTAAGGCGTCAGCCCCATATGCTAGAGGTGGCGGCTTCAAAATCCAGCCCCTGCCAAAAACAAAACAAAACAAAAAAACCCAAGACCTCAAAAGTCTGAAATATTAACCTTTGGAAAGGAACACCTAAGAACAGCTTAAAAAATAAACCTGGCTTTTTCTTTCAAGATCATGTCAGGGTGGCGCCTGTGACTCAGTGAGTAGGACACAGGCCCCATATAGCGAGGGCAGTGGGTTCAAACCCAGCTCCGGCCAAACTACAACAAAAAAATAGCTGGGCATTCTGGTGGGCACCTGTAGTCCCAGCTACTCAAAAGTCTGAGGCAAGAGAATCGCCTAAGCCCAATAGCAACTACAAAAAAAAAAAA